TTAGTTTTTAACAATAATTATTTGTATTTTACTTTTTTGGGGTTTATTTAAATCGTATATTATTTCCAAGAGATGGTACGAAAAAAATAATGTTGGATGAAAAATTGGATTACGGTCTGAGCGGAGGAAGTTAAGTACTGTTGCTGTCACAAATGGAGGAAGAGTTTATTAGACTTTGTTTATTTCTACTCGGAATGGTTAACTACAAGTTGCTAAATAGAAAAATAGTTGAGTATTAAAAGTAGCAAGTGGTTTGATTGGAACTGTTTTCCCAAAAAAATCTGCAGGGTTTGTGTATTAGAATTTACATGGAATTAATATTTGTAAACAACTTACTATATTAAATATTTTCTGCAAAAATATTTAACTTATTCACTCTATATAATGAGTCATCGTAGTGAAAAGGCTGGCCAAGTTTTTCTGTTAATCGATTAAAGGAGGTGAAAGTTTGCCCATTAATTGTCTTTAGAGAATTCCTAGGTCTTTAAGCAATACCGATCGTTTAATGGTCAGCATGAGCTTAGCGAATATGCCGGGTCTTTTTTCGTAAGTTTGGTTTTTACAATCACGTTTTTGCAGTCACAGTTGCTAAGAAAGCAGTTGAAGTTGATCAGTGGGTAGGTTTTGTTGGTCGATTTTGTTCTCCGTATGGTCCCACTGTTGTCGGTTTTAATATGGAATGGCGGCCTAACATTCACTCTGGGGAGGACAATCCTGTCGCTACCATCCAACTTTGTCTTTCTTCGTATTGTCTTGTTTTTTGAAATTTTAAAGGCATATTATATTCCAGTTTCACTTCAACAATTTCTGGCCGATCCTGGTTTTTTGTTTTGTGATGTTGGTATAGAAGCAGACGCTGCAAAGCTACGTAGGCACTACGGTTTTTTTTTTTCATCAATTTGAAGATGTTAACACAGTCCACAAAAGAGCTTGTTTAAATGTTGATCCAGCTGCACATGTTTATAGGGGACTGAAGGCAATGGTATTAGCCGTTTTGGAAAAAGAACTACGAAAGCCACTGCATGTAATCCTAAGCAACTGGGATTCGGAAATTTTGACATACGAACAAATTGAGTATGCAGCTACTAACGCCTTTGCAACCCTTCTGTTGAGAATTTGACAGCCTCCTATGATGTATTTTCCTGGAGGCTGGCTTTTGTAAACTGGAAAATAGTTAAAGGTGTGCATATTATGTTTGTTATCTGCTTCTAAATCATACACATGTCTCTAATTTATGTATTGCAGTCTTTTGTAACGATGGAGTGCATATTACTTTGCTGTAAGTATTTGTGTTATATCCTCATGTTGTGTATGTAGTTATATTATTTGCATGTGCGTCGAATTAAAGATGTTTCAATGCCCTTTAATAGCATAATCAGATGAATGCAGAAATACAAGTTGATGACTAATGAGTAATAAGTCGTAACCTATAATTCGTGCTTATAGTAGGTTGTACGTTTCCTGACGGGTAACTGTACACAGTATTCCACCCAATTTAATTACTTGTAAGAAGAAGGGTTAAACCTTTTCTGCGGGGTAACTTTACATTGTAATCTATCCAATTTACTTACTTGTAACAACAAGGAGACAAATATTTGGGCAAAGATAGTTGAGGTAATAAAATTAAAAAAAAAATCATTTAGTAAAAGAATTATGCATTTTCTATTATAAATTCAATTATTGTATTTACTTGAAGGAATTGTATAGAGAAACAGCATATTAAATATTAAATAACTTTTACAGGGCTCCGTATATTGGATTGTTTCTTTTGTTTTAAACTGAGATGATAAGTAACGTGTTAGTTGACTCCAACGAGGATGCGTAATATAAGGATTAGGTGGGCTAGGAATTGTAAAAAGTAATACAAAAATAGAGAACTTTAAGTTCTGATTGTTATAATTGTGGTTAGGTAACAGGTAATTATGGCTTTTATAGGTGAATGTTGTAAAGATTTGTTGAGATTCAATCAAATAAGGTTACTGATAGAAGAAGTAAATGCATTAAATGCAAAGCAGGGTATGTCAGTAATGACATACATATATATATCCATACTATGAAGGCCCAAAATAATATAAGGGTATTAGTGTACGGAGTAACAATGGATATGGCAAACGTGGCGATCGATTGTTTCGGAAGATCCATTTTTGTCGTAATCTTAAAGTGGTAAAAAAATATTCCCACATAAAGTTTTGAAATTATAGCTTTCTTTCATTATTTTTTTTTTGTATTATTTTAAAAACATTATCTACAAATCAAAATAATATAAATATATCTATTTTTTTGAAAATCGAAGATAACGGTCATCGAAATTGGTCGGATTGAAAGAGACCAGGTAAAGACAAAAAGGATTAAAGAAAAACTTCTCTGTATAACACTGGAAACAGTGGAGAAGAAATCAGAGATGGCGAAAGATTACCCGGTGGGGGTGGCGGGTTAGGTCGGATGAGAAAAACGAAAAATGGTCGGATCGGAGAAGAACCGTCCGTTTTGTGGAAATGGAAAGAGAAATCGCGGGTTGGGTCGGATAGTTAGAAGGACAATGTTCAAGCTGCCCAGCCCGTAATTACCTTGAAAACATGTACATTTCCGTAAAGCGTGTTGTACAGGTCGGACGACAGCAGGAAAAACCAGCAGTCGGCTAATACAGAAAGAAAAGCGAAAGGCATATACGTATGAATTATATCAACTTCTTATTTTCCTTTTAATTGTACAGCATTAAGTAACAACTTAAAAAAAAATTATATATTTATATTGATTAAAATGTTAGGCTATTAAGGGCAATTTAGTAAATTCAGGTCGTCATCCGTACTGCAGAGTTCCGTAAAATGTGTCCCGCAGGTCAGATGAGAGCGGGAAAAACCTGCAGTCGGCTATTATGGAAAGCAAAGCGAAAAAAATATATATATGAATTATATAAACCTCATATTTTCCTTTTAAATATAAATTAATTTAATTAAATTTGTAACATCTTACTCATAAGACCCACTCAAAATATCTTTATTTTTATTTCTCTTCTTAATAAGCAAATATTTTTATGAACATTTAAAACTCCTCTATTTATTTTTTATTTTTTATAAAACTAATTTAAATTATAGATAAATAAATAAATAATTTTTAATTTGTATTATATAAAATTTTATTATTTATAAAATAATATTAATATTATATTTATTTTATTAAGATATAATGTTAAAATATTTAAATACATATTCTAATTTTTTTAATTATATATATTAATTTATATTTTAAAAGTACCAATAACAGTATTATATATAAAAAAAAATAAAATAATATTATAATTTATTATTTGTAACTTACTCATTTATATTATTTAAATAATTATTTAAATAATTGCGCCTAAATAAATAAGTCATGTGTTCCGAGACGAATAAATATTATTAATTTGAGTCACATATAAAACGTGCAACAAATAATGTTTAGTCAAACACCCCTATCCGTTTGCGCATAAACAATTTGCTCCCAGCGGGTGCTGAATTGATGCGCTAACCACTGCCCTCTAGCTATCCAATGTAATGTTGACATCTGATTTATTAATTAATTAATAAGGGTCACACACCCTGTTTAGTTTACTTCTTTTTAATTATATTATAAAATTATTATTGTTGATGTATTTTTTTAATAATAAAAAGTAAAATTTGAAAATAGGAAATTATCTTCGAATTTGATATAATTAGTGACTGAGATTAGGAATCTCTAAGCGCGGTATGATACATAAATAATATAGGAAAATAAAACTACAGACTGGAAAATAAAGTGGTAATCCCCAAAGACAATTCTTTTGAATTTGATGTGGATTGAAGATGATTGAAGATAAAAAATCCACATCCTTAAATATTCCTTCAAGAAAACGTTTCAGAACCGTCGCCTGGTTGGTTATAGCAACCGCCCACTAATTCCTTCTTTATTGACACATGTCTTTAACCGTCTTGCCAAACGCTTCCACCAGTTCCAGAACTCAACTGGCCCGACCGACCATTCCAGAGACTAACTGGTCGCTAGACCAAACGACTTATTGGTCGCCCCATCAAGCGACCAGCATCTAATCTCTCCAGACAATTCAATGGCCGCCCCAAACAAGCGACTGAACTACTGTTCACTTAATTGGGCGACAAATTAACAAACCTAATCTTTCCCGACTTCCTCTTTCGACCGACCTCCGTGTCAGCCGTCCTTCTTTGTCCGACTTCCTCTTTCGACCGACCTCCGTATCAACCGTCCTTCTTCGCCCGACTTCCTCTTTCGACTGACCTCCATATCAACCGTCCTTCTTCGCCCGACTTCCTCTTTCGACCGACCTCCGTATCAACCGTCCTTCTTCGCCCGACTTCATCCTGCCCGATCTATATGCCGTCCGACCTAGATGCATATCATTTCCTTCATCCATCCGATCTCAGTTGGTCCAACCGCGGGACAACCGACTACGAACCATCCGACAGCGAACCATCCGACACACTCTGTTTGCCTTATCTCCTTAGATGGACAACTGGTTCAATAGACTATCCTCTTGACAGACCTCCGCATCTGCCGATACTTCTTCTTTGCCCAACCTTCGTCTTGACAGACCTCCGCTCTGCCGCTACTTCTGCTTTGCCCGACCTTATCACGTCCGATCTCCGTGCCCGACCTTTGTCCTGTCCGACCTCCGTGTTTGACCTTATTACATCCGATCTTCCGTGCCCGACCTTATCCTGTCCGACCTGCTTATCCGACTGCGGACCAACCGACCGGATCAACCGACCGCGGACCAACCGACTTGAGTGCATATTTTCTCCTTTTCCGCCCGACTTCATGTTCTAACTTCCTTTAAGATCCTCCTACCATCATTATTATTATTATTATTATTATTATTATTATTAGTGCGTAATAATTATATAAAAATAAGAACAGATATATTAATTATATCAATCATTAAACTCTATTTTATATATATGTAATATGTATGCAGTACATAATATATATGTAGTATCGATGATGTGGTATATAGTTTATCACCACTTTATTTTTCAGTATGTAGTTTTTGTTTTTGCTAGTTTATTTATGTATCCTACAGTGTTTAGAGATTCATAATCTCAGGCATTCATTTTATCAAATTCGAAGATAATTTCCATTTTCGGATTTTATTTTTTATTGTTGAAAAATTGCATCAACAACTATATTCATGAATATAAGCACTACAATAATATGGATGGCTTGTAAGCTAAAAAATCGGCAGAAAGAGTACAAGATGATTGTTGATGCAATTTTTCAACAATAAAAAGTAAAATCCGAAAATAGGAAATTATCTCCGAATTTGATATAATTAGTGTCTGAGATTAGGAATCTCTAAACACTGTACATTACATAAGTAAACTTAAAAGTAAATGCTACAGACTGAAAATTAAAGGATGATCCCCGAATCACTGACTTTACTGTTGTTTGAAAATGATTGAAGATGCTTTTTCAGAACAGACCCAAATCCTTAAATATTCCCTAAGGAAACGTTCTGAATCGTCGCCTGGTCGGTTACAGCAACCGCTATCACCCGCCCATCAATTTCTCCTCCATTGACACGTGCCTTTAACCGTCTCGGCAAAAGCATAACCCAACCGACCAATCCAGAGACTAACTGATCGCTAGACCAAACGACTCCTTGGCCGCCCCACCAAGCGGCCACCATCTGGTCTCTTGTCCGACCTCGTATTGTCCGTCTTATTCTTCTTCGCACGACCTCACTTCGTCCGACCTCCGTATCAGCCGACCTCCGAATCAGCCGACCTCACTTGGTCCGAACTCCGTATCAGCCGACCGGATCAACCGACCGTCCGACCTCATTTGGTCCGACCACGGGCCAACCGACCTCGGACCAACCGACGGTGAACCAACCGACGGCAGACCAACCGACTGCAGACCAACCGAACGCGGACCAACCGACGGCGAACCAACCGACCGGCTCTGTTTGCCTTATCTCCTTAGATGGACGGCTGGCCCAACCGACTTCTTTTTGACCCTGCTATTATCATTATTATTTATTATTATTATTTTTTCTGCGTAGCAATAATAATATTGAAGTTTAGAGAATATTTATTAAAAAATATTAAATTTTTTGTAATGGTTTTTTAATTTTTTTAATTATATTTTGAATTTGAGGGAATTGGTCGGTTACCATTTGAGACTGCCGAAAATCGGATGTCTTCTATTTCTGTAAGATCAGCCGTCCACTCAGACGAAATTTTTTTTTGTTTTGCGTGCCCAACAAATTCAAAAACCCCTGCATTAGTTTCAAATGTATTTTTTTATATATCGTAGCATTAGAATATTGTAACTAATTTATTGTATTAGAGAAAACGTTACGATCTACAAAATGATATCCATATCAATATATTTTGTACAAGTAAATGACTACAAAATAGCAAATGAAATTGAAAAAATACAACTCTCAAGAACATCCGATATCAATAACTAAAAGTACAAAATATAAACAAAATGACACTCTAGGACTTCGAACACTTGCATTTTTATAACCCAACACAACAAAACTAAACAACAAATAAATGAAAAAAGTGGTATCAATGTCATATCATGTAGGTATTCGTACAACTACTCGTATCTATGTCTTTGATGTATATACTATTTAGGAAAAGAAAGAAAAAGACATTGACAGCGGAGAGAATAAGGAATTGAATTGTGTTTGCAGTTTTGCGCTAGTTCATGCCTATATTTATAGATCATAGATGACCTTTACAAAAGGTTACAAATAATCTACGAAGACACTGCATCTACGTATCACTTTTCTATACATAACGTTAATTTACATTGTGTATTTAATATTCTCTTTTGGATATTTTTTATACAAAAACTATGATTCATTAAACTTAAAATATATATATGGAAAAAAATTTAGTGAAGAAAAATCTTTGAACCGATGAATTTCAATTATTTTTACTAGTTTGTTTAATGTTACAGTTGGTAGAACTTTGGTTGATAAATCTGAACAATTATCAGTTAATCAATTTTTTTGCATATCAATTTCACTATTCTCCATATGTGATTATTGAGCGATCTTTATTCTCAAACATTGACCTATAATTATTTATTTTTATTTTTAATATGATTGGCCACCTCGACCAAACACATTCTTGATTGCCTTCATAAGATAGTCAATACTATGATGTGACGGCTATTGTATGTTTGGTAGATCTCTAAGAGATCATAGTATCATCACATATAAATATATAGTGATTTGGGATTTATCTTTATGCGGGTTAGACAAACATTTCGCATCAGTATAGCCTAATAACTTATCATAATAATTATTCGAATAAAATAGGTCGAGATCAATTATCCCTTTGAGATAGACCAAAGTATGTTTTACCTCATTCCAATATCATTTAGTAGAAGATGAACTAAATCTAATAAGTTTACTACAAATACAATACATGGTCTTATACAATTTGCTAAGGACACAAGTGCACATATTGAACTAAAATATGGTACTTCAAGATCAAATATCTCTTCATCTTTTCATTTTTGTCTAAATGGATCCATTTTAGGATCAACTGATCGGACGATCATTGGGGGTACTCTATAAATGTATTTTATCCAGATAAAATAGTTTTAATACCTTTTTTTAATAAGCGGTTTAGTGGATAAATGTTTCATTATCCACGTATTCAATTTGTAGACCAAGACAAAACTTTATCTTTCCAAATTATTTGATCTCAAATTCTATTTAGAAGTTCGAATAAGATTGATACCATCAACATATACTACAATGATTATAAATTTTGATTCATTTTTCTTTATCAAAATACATGAACATATTAGGTCATTATTGTAATATTCTTTGGTTCAACATTCAGTGAGGCGATTATGCCACAAGCATCAAGAATATTTAAGTTTATACAAATATTTTTGTACTTTGATTGAATAATATTCCTTGAAATTTGATATGAGTATTTCAGGCATATCATATCCTTCATAATTTTTGTATATAATATTCTCCCATAAGCTACACAAGTAAGCAATGACTATATCCATGAGACCCATGTTAAGATTTTCATACATTGCGAGGCTTACGGAGAATGTAAACGTGATAACATCCATAACATGAGAATATATTTCATCATAATCAATCAAAGGTATTTTTGAGAATCCTTAGGCTATAAACCTTTTGTTATATGTTATAATTACCTTCATTTTTTTTTTCAAAAATACTCATTTGCATTATACGAACTTAACACATTTTGGTGTTTGAATTATAGGTTCAATGAAGTTTTTTTTTTTTTGGGCTAGTAAGTCTAATTCCGATTGGATCGCATCTTTTCATTTTGATCAATCGTTTCTTTTCAGAAATTCATAAACTGGTGTTGGTTTGGGATCATTGTCATTTTCTATTATATCAATTGCTATGTTTAATGCAAAAGAACTATCAATTATTGTTTACTTTTAGTTCAAACTTTTCCTTATAGTGGTAAAGTTAATAGAATTTTCAGTAACTTCATTTTTTTATGAGATAAACTCTTCATGAGCTAACACTTTAAGATTTGTTTCTTGTCAGTACAAGATATTTGAGGAATTTTGCTGTAAAAATATATGTCCTGGTGATTCTTTTGGAGTCATTAAATGCATCAAGTAATTGATTTTTAATTTGTTGCAAATGTATATTTGTGACACCCCAGCTCGCAAGCTCCGCAAAGCGGAGCATTTCAAGATTGTAGACTGGCCGTACAGGTCAACAAGAGTCATTCCAGCGCGTTTTTGTCCTTAGTCACGCGCACCCTGGAAGACTTCTCAGGGGGTCATCCATCCTCAAATTACTCTGGAGCAAGCACGCTTAACTCTAGAGTTCTTTCAGTAGGGCTCTCGGAAAAGAATGTGCATATTGTTGACATGTGTAGTCTATTAAATCCATTTAATTACTATTCAATCTTGCATGGTCTGGCACCGGCTCATCCACGGAAGTTGGCCTAGCACCGGCCTAACTGCGGGGGTATTACAACAATTCTTTATACTTTTAATTCACATTTTCATGAATGAGGTCAAGAAAATTTATAGGTATATTTCAAAAACTATAATTTTTTTTTTCAATTGATTATGTTTTCCCTCTAATGTCAAGAAGTTACTTTCGTTGAAATGGTATATGAGAATCATGGAGTAAATAAACCACCCATCAAAAGTTTAAAGTATTTAATTATGAATGTTGATTTGTACTTGACATAAATTTTCAAACAATTTGTAAATTCAGGTGGTGTAGTCGACATGTAAACCACTCATAAAAATTCCTCAAGTGAGATATATTCGTCTTTTCTTCAAATACTAATAGTATTAGGAGTATTTATGATAACTTATCGATCTAATTTACACAAATGTTACGACGCATAATATTGCATGACTCAAAGAAAAAATTGGGAATTTTAATTTAATCAATAATAGTCTGGAAATTAATTGTATCATTTAAAGGATTTTTCCAGACCATTTGACTGTGAAAATAAGGAATAAGAAGTTCAACGATGATCCACAAAGTCATGCACTAATAGTTGGAAAAATTGCAAAAAATATCTCACATGTATACCATATTACCATTTTTTTCCTGTATTTATGAAGCTGGAAAAATATATCCTATATGTTTACAAAAGTCGTTATTTATGTCCTTTGGCCACACATGACATTCACACCATGCGTGGTCACACGATACCAAATGATATAAATATCGAATTTTGCAAATATATAGGATATATTTGTCAGCGAGATAAATATAGGACAAATGTGATAATGTGGTATACATGGGGGATATTTTTTGCAATTTTCTCAATAATCATCAAATGCTTTTAATTAAGATTCACAAACATTATCAATGTGAAATTTCTTTATTGGATAATTAGAATATTGTACTCGCAATTTGATTATTTGTTCATGTAACTTTACAAATACTAAATTATGTGAGGATAGCAGGCACACATGCGATCATATTGTTTATGCATCAATTTAACACCATAAAATATTTAAATGACTCATATAATGGATCTACAGGTCTATATATCACCATTGATTCTTTCCAGAAACAATGTGAATTCAATCTTAATTTTGGTTTGTGCCGTCTGATTATATTCCTTGTAGAATGCAGTACACCTAAATTCATTTTAAATCAAGATCTTTTGATCTTTTAGTGAATGCCCAATGAAATTTTCAATTATTCAAATTATAAATTCATTTAATTGAGTAGACTTTAGGTTTATCGAATGCCCAATGAAATGTTCAATTATTCAAATTATAAATTCATTTAATTGAGTAGACTTTAGGTTTATCGCATGAGTTTCAATAGCACTGATTTTTGTATAGTATAAACTAGAGGACAATGAAGACAAGTTTGCAATTGCATATTTCTTTGCATTTATAAAGTTTGTAATAACTAAATATGGGAAAAATTGCAAAACAATAATATGTATATAGTTAATTATCAGTTTTATCCTATAACAAAATATATTCTACACATTACAAACAATTATGATATGGTACTTGAGTGTCGAAAAAAGCCCATTAAGCTCACTTTCGGGCCAACCTCACTATCTCTCCACAGTTGACAAAATATATCATACACCTTACATAATTATTTATACATATATTTTTTAATATAAAATATTTTTTTTCTTATATCTATAAATACATATTATATTTTAACTTTAATTATATTTTTTATTTTAATAATTAGTTTATTTAATTTTTTGGAGTTAATTTTGTCTTTGATTTGCTTCTTAATTAATTTATATGATATTTTTATAATATATGTAAAGTATTTATAATTCTTATATATGAATTTATGTTCCATTTTTTTTTATAAAAAACATTATTATTCATAATTATTGTATTAAATAAATTTCTATTTATATAAATATTTATTTTTAATAAATATGTTATTGTTACATATAATATTTATATTATAAAAATTAATTTTCAAATAAGCTATAAAATAGTTTTTAAAAATAAATATTTTTCGTTATTGTTAAACATTGAGTTTATCGTTTGGATTTTAAATTGTAGAAAATAAAAATAAATTTTCAAATAAGCTATAAAATATTTTTCAATTCAATATACTAATAAAAATATTTTCATTCAATATTATACATATAAATTATTATATATATATTTGTTGTCGTAAAAAAATCGCCATCAATGACTTAATCGGAAAGCTTGTCGGAATTGATTTAATTATAGAATTTTTCGGACTTCTCAAGAAAGGATTCGGGCAATCTAGTGATGATAAAAAAATTA